GTAATTTATGTTATATATTATGTCCATATTATAAAATACAGTAATATATTGTATACTAATTTAAAAAAAATTTGGAACCTGAATATATGTTATTTGGATTATGTAATTTGGAACCTTGGATTTACGTAATTCGGAACCTAACTGATTAACGTTAATAATCATTAAATTTTCATCGAAAATTAATAGAACGCCTGATACAGTAAACTTCTACTCCACTTCAAAGTCCACAAATATACCTTCATTTCTACAAACAATTTAAATATTTAAAAAATGTGGCTACCTGTCACGACTTCCTGGAACTCAATACAATTGCCACAAAATTCCAAGTCTGAAACAATACGAATATTTATCGATCGCAGTCTCCTTGACTCGTTAATCGAGGCAAGTGTGACAAACCGGTTTTCCCAGTCGTCACAGTGATGCTGAACTAAACACCATTTGTATCCCCGTACGCATTTCTGTTGTTCCGATCACTTCCGTAGAAGACACGCCGGTAATCGATCGTTTGAATAACTTCATTTTAAATTATATTTCGTGAGTAACAATATAATTTTCGTGTCGATTCAACAGCAGATCGATCGTCGATTGAACGCGATGAGAAACATATTTGGACACTTGTTGCTGCTGATCTGTCTGATGGCGATGGCGATCTACGCTGCGCCGCAGCGCGAAAGAGTTCAAACGTTCTATCGACCGAAGACTAATAGACACCACATCATATACTCCCCTATTAGAAGCTGCCCCCCTGGGCAAAAGATGGACGCGGCGGACAAGTGTCGCGACATTGTATAAGTACGTTAAAAAATTATTTAACTAAGTTAAAAAAAAGTTGAAAGATATAAGTAAATAAAGAAATGTAACTAAATTGAAAATAAGTTAAAAAAATAAGTACAGTGGACTCTAACTATATTTTCTTGGTCGGGGCTGTAGGAGAGTAAGGTGGCCGCCAATCCGTGTACCAACGTGGAAAATCATTGACGAAAGGAATTTCTTCTATGAACGGTGAACTCGAAACTTTCTGCGATTCTCCGAGTAGAATACAGTTGCTTCGCGGAAATATCGAACAATTCCATGTTTATACGGTATGTTTTAAGTTTAAGATATTCAATTAACCCTCGAACGGTAATGTCTGTTTCAAGATAGTACTTGGTAAGGTGACGTCCGTTCCGACCCCAATTATTTTTGCTATTTTCTTGACGGGTAAAAAAAACTCTTGTATTCTTGTTTATTTATACAGGGTGAAACGAAAATTGAGTTCGCACGTTATGAGGTAGATAGTACTTGCCAAGTGATAGAAAAAAATCATAATAAACATAGGTCGAAAAAATTAATATTTTCGAAGTTACAAGCGATTCTTTTTTTTTCGTTAAAGCGACTGACCTAATCTGAAACATGTTAAAATTGGTATATCTAATCAATCAATATTAATTAATTATTATGATGTAATTTATGTTATATATTATGTGTATATTATAAAATGCAGTAATATATTATATACTAATTTAAAAAAAATTTGGAACCTGGATTTGTTATTTAGATTATGTAATTTGAAACCTGACTGATTATCGTCAATAATCTTTCAATTTTCTTCGAAAATTAATAGAACCCCTGATACAGTAAACTTCTACTCGACTTCAAAGTCCACAAATATACCTTCATTTCTACAAACATTTTAAATATTTTAAAAATGTGGCTACCTATCGCCATTTCCTTTATCGCAAAACAACTACCACAAAATTTCAAGTCCGAAACAATATGAATAGTTATCGATCGCAGTCTCCTTGACTTGTTAATCGAGGCGAATGTAACAAACCGATTTTCCCAGTCGTCACAGTGATCCTGAACGAAGCGCGACTTCTATCTCTGTACGCGTTTCTGTTAATCCGATCACTTCCGTTGAAGACACGCCGGTAATCGATCATTCGAATAACTTCATTTCAAATTATATTTCGTGAGTAACGATTTAATTTTCGTGCCGATTCATGCACAGATCGACCGTCGATTGGACGTGATGACAAACATCTTTGGACACTTGTTGCTGGTGATCGGTCTGATCGCGATGGCGATCTACGCTGCGCCGCAGAGCGAAATAGTTCCAACGTTCCATCCGCGGAAGTATCATATACTCGTGATCTGCTGCGCCCCTATTAGACGCTGCCCCCCCGGGCAGAAGATGGACGCGGCGAACAAGTGTCGCAAGATTGTACAAGTGCGTTAAAAAATTATTTAACTAAGTTTAAAAAAAGTTGAAAGATATAAGTAAATGAAAAAATGTTGTAACTAGATTGAAAATAAGTTAAAAAATATAAGTACAGTGGACTCTAACTATATTGCCAAGGCCGGAGCTGTAGGAGAGTAAAGTGGCCGCGAATCAGTGTACCAAAAGTTGAAAGATATAAGTAAATAAAGAAATGTGACTAAATTGAAAATAAGTTAAAAATACAAGTACAGTGGACTCTAACTATATTGCCAAGGTCGGAGCTGTAGGAGAGTAAAGTGGCCGCGAATCAGTGTACCAACGTGGAAAATCATTGACGAAAGGAATATCTTCTATTACCGGTGAACTCGAAACTTTCTGCGATTCTCCGAGAAGAATACAGTTGCTCCGCGGAAATATCGAACAATTCCACGTGTATACGGTATGTTTTAAGTTTAAGATATTCAATTAACCCTCGAACGGTAAGCTCGGTTTCAAGATTGTACTTAATAAGGTGACGTCCGTTCCGACCCCAATTCTTTTTTGCTATTTTCTTGACGGGTAAAAAAAACTTGTATTTTTGTTTATTTATAGAGGGTGAAACAAAAATAGGGTTCGCAAGTTATGAGGTAGATAGTACTTGCCAAGTGATCGAAAAAAATCATAATAAATATAGGTCGAAAAATTAATATTTTCAGCGTTACAAGTAATTTTTTTTTTATTAAAGCAAGTGACCTAATTTGAAGCATATGTTAAAAGTGGTATATCTAACTTCAACATCGATTAAATATTGTAAACTATTAATATATCAATATTAATTAATTATTATTATATAATTTATGTTATATATAATGTCCATATTATAAAATACAGTAATATATTGTATACTAATTTAAAAAAAATTTGGAACCTGAATATATGTTATTTGGATTATGTAATTTGGAACCTTGGATTTACGTAATTCGAAACCTAACTGATTAACATTAATAATCATTCAATTTTCTTCGAAAATTAATAGAACGCCTGATACAGTAAACTTCTACTCGACTTCAAAGTCCACAAATATACTTTCATTTCTGCATGCATTTTAAATATTTTAAAAATGTGGCTACCTGTCAGAATTTCCTCTAACGCAATACAATTGCCACAAAATTCCAAGTCCGAAACAATATGAATATTTATCGATCGTAGTCTCCTTGACTCGTTAACCGTTAATAGAAGCGAGTGTGATAAACCGGTTTTCACAGTCGCCGCAGTGATCCTGACCGAAGCGCCACTTGTATCCCCGTGCGCGTTTCTGTTGATCCGATCACTTCCGTAGAAGACACGCCGGTAATCGATCGTTCGAATAACTTCAATTGAAATTATATTTCGTGAGTAACGATTTAATTTTCGTGTCGATTCATGTGCAAATCGACCGTCGATTGGACACAATGAGGAACATCTTTGGACATTTGTTGCTGCTGATCTGTCTGATGGCGATGGCGATCTACGCTGCGCCGCAGCACGAAGGAGTTCATCCGCAGGGGACTAATATACTCCAGATCGTAACTTCCCCTCTTAGGGGCTGCCCCCCTGGGCAGAAGAGGGACGCGGCGAACAAGTGTCGCAACGTTTTATAAGTACGTTAAAAAATTATTTAACTAAGTTAAAAAAAAGTTGAGAGATATAAGTAAATAAAAAAATGTTGTAACTAAATTGAAAATAAGTTAAAAGATGTAAGTACAGCGGACTCTATATTGTCCTCTCCATGCTAAGTTCTGTCGTCATAACCTCGACCTCAGCGCCTGCGCAAAAACTGGATCGTGCTGGTGCGCCGGCGTACGCAACGTAGTGGGAGAGCGAATTTGTGTGCGTGAAAGTACATGTGAAGAAGTGCCTCGCGTGGCAATATGTTTAGTGGCAATATCGTTAGAGTCTACTGTAAGTTAAAAAAGTATATTACTAAATTAAGTAAGACCCAGTGTTATAGTAAGCTGTTGACGATAATCAAGAAAATAGTGATCCATGAATTTGAAGCAATATTATATTGTATTATTAATCATCGTTCTAATTTACTTCGTACTACATATTGTTCACGAAAGAGTAATATGAGCTTAAATTTGTATGTTTCCAGGATTGAATGCAGCATGAAACGTTTTCGAATACAATGGACCAAGACTGTTGAAGTTTTGTACTCTATAATGTACACACTTTTCCACTAAGGTTCACGAATAAAAATAAATTTCAAGTATACTGGATTGCAATTTATCTTTCTATACACTTCGTTCAATGATTATAAAATCTTTGTCAGGATATCCAAGAATACCTCCATGCTGATGTAAATCGATTTTGAACTGGGATTATTCCAATTTCGATATAAAACGTTATGGGTAAAAATTGACCCAATTTTGTTAGTAAGTAGAAATAATCATCCATCAGTCTAAAGTTAAAACCGAATAATCGAAATATTTCAATTTTAGTACAAAATAGCCCCTGATCCAAATTGACCCAGACAGCAACAAGAATCAGTTAACTATCGTTCCCGTGGTATTATGTAGAAAAAAGCAGGATAATCGAGGGGCAACTAAAACGTCGTGGACCATCCATTCGTTTCTTATCACCGTGGACCATTAATCACTAAACTGTGGCCCGCGGTAGTGCGCGCTATTCGTTAGCCAGGTTTCCGGTTTATCAGCGAGGCCAGCGGCTCGCAATAAGCTTCTGTTATCGTCTGCTGTAAATCGTCTGGTTCCTATCGACAGCGAGCTCGGATTACCGTCGGTTGTACGCGTGTACCAGATCATCTCGTGCCCGTTTACTGATCCGGGAACTGAATTACCGATACAGCTGACCGTGCAAGAAAACAACGGGGAATGTTTATACATATATAAATTTTTGTGGATCGATTAACACTACATTTAAATCAGATCCATAATGGGGTCTAGCAAGTACTGAATTAAATATAAACCTCACTGCACTACATATTAAGTTTCATATTAATGCATAGTCTACTAGTCTACTAGAGCTGAAGGTATTATGAGGATGGCCTATAAACAGAAGTCCACTTTGCAGACCTAGTTCAGTTAGAGTCCTGTGACCGTTTTCAGAATATTAAATATTTTCAGATGTAATCCAAAGAGTACAAACGTTGATAACAAAACGGTGAAGTAGCAACTCCAATTGACCATAAATGGAGGATCATTATGCGAATCTAGCCTACCTAGGAGTATCAAACTAGGGACCATCAGACCACTGATAATTTTAGGTTATAATTCGAGTTAATTCTGTATGATGTAATTAGAAATAAAAGGACTAAAATTGCACGTCCAATAAAGTCACGAAGGTCCTGGCTGATCAAAGTCTATCAATGACAGGGCAGCTTTCGTGAATCATTTTTAATAGAGAATGCTTTAAACGGAGCTGGGCAAGATTTCTGTTAGAGAATCATTTTCTTACAGCTGCAGCACCCTTTATTTACGGCACTATTTTGTTCAATAGCGTACATTACTTCGTACAGCCCCATAAAAAATTACTGCTAACTAACAGCAATCCTATTAGTGGCAGGATACCTACCCAATAGGTAGTTCGTACCACCCTAAGTGGTTACTTAGGGACAAGTGGCCCAAGACCCTTCACACTCCCTATTTCTGTCAATTCTTCCGTTCCACTGATCGACACACGAGTAGTTTAGCTCCCAGGGTGATTTCACGACCGAGTTATGTTGTTTCCACCAATAAGGTCCACAGACCTACTGCTTATGGCCCTGCAATTTCAGCAGTTTGTACGAAGGGTATCACTTGCAGAGCCATTCGAGAGGGTCCCAAGAAAGCCACTATGTTTATTTCACCGACAAGACTTAGTGGAAAAAATACAACAATGTAGCGACGTTAGTGGTTCAGCTACTGTTGGGGCAAGATCTTTAGGTCTAAAAGTCTTAGGTCTCAGACTGTAGACTAGTGTAGACTGTAGGTCTTAAGTTTGGGGATGTAGATACTTCGAACGATGTATGTCTTAGGTCTGAGATTACAGATACATCGTTCTACGTAGGTATGTTTTAAGTCTTAGGTTGTAGACATTTCGTACTAGTAAACCCTACGTCTTAGGTCCTGGTCTTAGGCTTTAAGTCTTAGGTCTCCGAAAGCTCTGTCCAGTTGGGCACCATTTCTTACAGTGAGACCATTAAATATCGAATTTGCGTGCAGAGAATATCCAAGACCCTGAACAAGCTCCAAAACCTTGTCTCAAATTTTAATGGTCTCAAGGTATGAAAAATAATTCTGTTGTCACCCATTAAATAATTCTGTGGTCAATCATTATTAAAGCATTTTTCTACAGTAGAACTTTAACAGACTTCGCTACATTTTACCTACCAAGTGGAATAAACTCTAGCCAGGCAATGCAGGTGTAATTCTGCATTACCTATTGACGTCGCAAAAATGGCGTCTTTCGAGCAGCTGGCGCCCTCTACGTCGTTGATTGGTCAGCTTCATCGACGGACGGTCTGCCTATCCAGACTGTGTTATCAACCGCAGCGCGCGCGTAAACACAAACGGAAGTCTAAGCCACGGACATGGAGGCGAGTAACGTTGCGAAATTGTGCATTATAACAACAAACCCGTGAACTCTGACGGTCAAGGTTCCTGATTGTAAAACGAATACTGAAAATGCATCGCGACGCACAAATCACGGTGACGACAACCCGTTTCAGATATGAATTTCAATATGTTCGTCGTTTTTGTCTTTTGCAGAGGCAAAAGTCAGAGGTGCGCGCAATAATTCGTGCCGCTAATGGACGAATAATAAACGGAATTGGCGGCAAGGATTATTTGGGCGCGATGTTTGTTGTTTACGACCTGTATCGACGACGTGCTTGGACAAAAATTATAATTTATCAACTTGTAAAATGATATTTTTGGTTACGGATTATTCTAAATTTTCCTATAAATACCGTTTGGAACGTGATTATGATTCGAGAATATTTTATTTAGAAATTCTGGGTCACCGTGACCTGGAAATAAATTGAAATCTGTAAAACCGGAAGTATTTCATGACTCAACGGAGTGATTTATAAATAGAAAAATTGATTATCCCTTAATCAATATGAAGATATCGAAAATATAATCGAAGAATATTTTCGATAAAACGGAACATGGTATATCTAAAGTTACATAAAGAAATGATTCATAGTTTAATCATTTACATCGTTCAATAAATTAGTACACGACCACCTGAAAATTAGTTTCGACCCATTAAGATTGTTTATCGTTTCTGCGATCGTTGGAAACATAATTTTGCCCAGGTCTCGACCGATGATACACTGGCTCGACGCGCGAACTGTAAACTTTGGACGTTAATAAACGAAGAAACTGATAACCGAGCGCCACTTTAAAATTATCTCCTGTTCAGCGGTCGCGATTTTTCAATTTAGCACTCTCGTTCCTTGATCCACGTGTACGTTATCGCTCCATAATTCATGGTTTTCTACCAATTTTTACCACATCTTTACCAGTGCTTAATGAAACTTTCGATTTTCAAAATTTTTCTTATTAAACGGAGTTTGTCATTTTGTATGTGATGTTTGTTAAAATTACAATTTCCCTTCGATTTTTACATATATTAATAAAAAATAGTAATAGTAAAACGAAAATCGTGTTGTTTTAATTTCTGGTATTACGCATATCGTTTTTCTACCTGTAATTGTAATATCTTGTAATTTTATAAATCCTTATGATTACATCGGTTGCATGTTTGTACGAAGTTATGACTCATTTCTGGCGCAGAAAAATGATATATGTACAGTTTTCCGTTTTAAATAATCATTCGGGACACTCACTAACATATCAATACAATTAAGAAACCATTATACGATCGATGTTATTAAAACATTATTTCAAAATATTTTGTAACCTTAAGCTTCGCAAACAAACGTGATTATTTGCAGTGGCAAAACATTTTTTTGTTCGATAAAAAAAATCTTTGCATCTGGCATATGTCACAGATCAATTACGAACATATGGCCGACACTGTGAGTAAAAAACTTTCAACTGAATTTAGTATAGACTACTATTAAACCGATTCCTGAATTTGCTCCACTTTTTTTTTATAAAATATTTTCTGTACGATGTAATACCTTGAAACTTACTTGCATAGTCATCAATAGATTATATGTAGGTGTTCTGCAATTTTATGACACACATGATCCTGTAAAATATTTGCATAGTACAAAATCAATAATCTTTAATTCCATGAATGTTATTACCTTCATAAATACCATTTTGGTCACCAATTTAATGATCTATGAGTCAGTTGCACAAAATAATACTATTGTACTGGTATTATAATTTTACTATTCTACCATAATAAATCTAACCCGCTAAAAAATACCACTAAAAATTCTGAAAATGTATTTTCCTTTCAAAATACTATTTTGGTCACTAATTTAATCTGCGTCAAACGTACAGAATAATTGCATTATATTATTGTTGTACTATTTATAATATATTAGTGTAATAATTCTGATATATTACTGTAATAAATAAAACACCCAAAAAAATATCACTAAAATCGTACGAGAGTTATTTCAGTCAAAAATACTATTTTGGTCACTGATTTAATCATCTCCGTCCATCACACAAAATAATTTCATTGTATTACTGTAATAATTCAAACGTACCACCGTAATAGATGTAACCCACTGAAATTATACGATTAAAAATTCTACGAGGTAAATTTCCATTAAAAAAAGAACCCAAAAAAACTACTTCGTTCGCTAATTTATTCATCCTGCGTCAATCATTAGCATGAACCGGTGGACGTTTTTTCGGTAAGACCTTCTTTCGAACTATCGAAGGTATTACCCCATTCCGTTTTCCCACTTTTCGATTACGCGGGTCCTGTTGGTCTCGGTACATTGAAAAGACGACAGGGGAAAAATACGTAGCGCTTGTGCAGATGATCAGTCGCGGCCATAGAAACGGTCCCATTGTGGACGAAACGGCACTTTGGCTCGGGTTGGAGTTGTACTCAGCGTTTTCATGTCGGATTAACTTTTGCATTGTCAGACAAATGTCTATCTCGTCCAAGCCCATTATCCCCCTGATTGACGTATCTAATTGCATCAATTGCGTAATAAATGGAAATTAGGCTGCTGTGAAATGGTCAATGCCGTTGGTGGCTGGGGTCAAGCGTCTGCGCGCGAACACTGCCGGACGTCACGCGTGTCGCACCGTATTTTTGTGCCCCACTAAAATT